GATGGTATTTTCTCGCTCCACTAAGGAGTCTGGCCGCCACGTTCTACACCACTTGAAGTTTCCGCATCAACTTCAAAGGTAGCCCCACGTAGAGTGCATTACAGTGGTCTAATCTCGAGATTATGAGCGCATGCACCTATTGACCCTGGATGGTCTACAAAGTAGAATTATTTAAAACACAAGTTAGATATATGCAATAGAAGTAAATGAAAACGAGCAGATACCACAATATACTTTTTTTTTGCACCCAGAACACCAGGGGATATTGTACCACATTTAGTCTGTTGTGCATGGGGACTTACTGCAACATGAAAAAAAAATCTACTGCATATATCATGTGTAAATTTTGAATATGCAATCAGTGTTGATTTGAGTATTTAGAGAATTTGCTTTTCATGCTCAGGTTTGAATTTGTGTATGTATAAGAAAACAGGTGCTGCTTCAAAACTCCTGGCTATCATATTGATACAGAAGTGGAAACCTCGTAATGCAGATTCCCCAGAAAGGAACTCATGTAATACTTGAGTTCTGCAGAATATGAAAAGCTATTAAAATGTTGGCATGGGGTGAAGTAAAAAAGGACACAAATGCTTTGAATTGTTCAGTAGCGCCAGGGTATGGCTAGGTAGCCAAGTTGTCCCATACTGAATCAGGCTAAGCAGGCTAATTTGAGGTACTGTATGTTATTTGGGGGAATCTGTGCATCCATATGCAAGTTTATTAAGTTTATTAATAAATGGTAACCTTTTCGTTTCTGTGTGCACAAAGATCCTGCAGTGACTCAGCTAAGTCAAGTGACAGTAGTAGAACATGGGGAATCTGTTTTGGTTTGATATCAGCAATCACACATGCTGGCAAAAATGGATTGATCTTAACCCATTTATGACATCACTTAAATATGCAAGCAAATCAGTACAGGAAAAGCAGAGATCTCAAAATCCTTTCAGATATATCAGGAACATTTGCATCTGCACGTCTGTACATATATGTTAAATAGCATCCTCCATCCACAACCCTATGTACAAATAATCTATGCAACTGTATGTCTGATGTAGCCTACACAGGATTCCCATTCACACATTGAAAGCCTATACATGGGTAGCACAGGATCTATAGAAAACTGTAAAAGAGACACATACTATTGGGGACAAATGCTATTGGAGAAACACACAATCTTTCCATATATGTTCAATGGAATAAATTTTTAGAAGATTTTGTCATGTGTGTAAGTGCTTTCTCACCATGATGAGGTATTTGTCTTTCCTTGCTTAACTTCTTGAAACATTTTATCTTAAACATGTTTGCAGTGGGGAAACATAGTTAACAGACTGTTGTAACCTTTTGAGTTCTGTGACATTTTAGATTTCTGCTAGAAGAGAAGCCTCCATTTTCAAAAATGAAGGACTGAGATTTCCCTCAAAAATGGAGGGCTAGGTCCTCCATTTTGGAAAATGGAGGACCCACCCCTTAGCCCTATATTCATATGACCTAAAATGAACATTGACTTCCTTTTTTTCCTGCTAAATATTTTGCAAAACTTAGATTCAGAATAAATAGAATTCCCATCATGATATCCCACAATAGATGTATTAATTGCACTTGACTACAAAATCAAAGTTAAAACAGCTAGTCTTTGGGACACAAGTGCTTTATTTAAGCTAACAACTGGACCTGAATGGGGAAAAACAAAACACATACATTGGTTTTTCTCATTGCCAAATTTGCTGAGTGACAGAACTTACTAGCAGCACCCTGGAAAGCTTCACAGAAAGCTTTATTCCCACTGCAATGAAATTAGACAGACCCACATAGACCAGTGAAACCAGTCTCATTTTTGGGGTCTTGACATGAATGTTCAACCATGCTTATGACATAATAGAGGCAACAGTGATATCCATGGAAGGTCTGGGGGCATTTAAGGACCACAACAAGATGACTTCTACAGCACATTCATTTACAAAGCAGGCCTTGTGAAGACAAAGTGATTCGTTTCCTTTTGACATCCTTTTCATACATGCAAAGCAGGTGCTCTGCTATTGAGACATATTACACCAAAACTGCCTGATTTTTGGTTTTTTGTTGCACACACTGATGCATCATTCCTTGGAGCAAATTAGCTTATACACAGCAAACTTAGGTGACACTTTTCTAGTGGTTAAAATTGAAAAGCAACTGTGGGAACCTGCCAGTTTGACCTGAGGAACAGTGGGGCAACTCATATTTTCTTCTCTGGCTATTTTGCCACTCATAATCTCTTCCCAGATGTTTTTCTGTTCATGGAAGGAAAAATACTATTTATTCTTGCAGTTGATGGCAAGAAATTTGAACAGGAAAACAGCTTGATTAAAAAACAGAGTGCCTAATAGCCCCTTTTCCCTTCCTCCCCCCTTTCAGCTCAAATCAGATTCTCTCCATGGCTGATTTTCATATTTTCAAAATCTTAAGAGATTGTTACGTATTTCTCTTGGAGTAATGACTAATTGGGCTCTTGATTTCAATAACTTGCTGAAATGGAAGGTCTTTCTGGGAAATAAAAATAAGACGAATAAGATCAGAAGAATGAGGAGATCTGAAAACACGCATATAAGCATTATAACATTTTTGTTTTTCGTACTGCATTATTGCCTTGGAATTGTTGAACATGGTCTATCAACATGGTAAATGCAGTAGAAGCTGCAGTTCCCCTGCCTTCCTTAAACTTCCCACATGCAGGAGAAGTACAAAAGCATTGGAAAAGACAAGAATTCACATGCTTGAGTAAGAAGTTAAGGTAGACTTGTGAGAGAGAGTTCCTTTGGCTCTTATAATGAAGCCGCAATGGTCCTGAAGGGTGACGTTTCCTTCTGCATTGAGACACCTCCCCAAAACTTGGAATACAACATCAGTGCCATTAAAGATGATGCATAATATTAATGGCTGAAATACTATGATGCAGAGAATATCTTCTTGATATTGAGTTATTTCTGGTGAACAAGGGAGCAAAATGTTCTCATGGGTTCACTATTTTAGGAGGAAACTGAGATTTCCTGCTATTATTGTCTGTGTAAATGGCAAAGGATGTAAACCATTTGAAGATAAGGCTTTTGAAAGAGAGCAAGCAAGAGAGAACAAGGAAAAAAATTAATTGGCTACCTACATTTTGTTTCAATAAAACCTTGATTTAAAAAGTGACGTAATGTGCTATGATGATTCCCAAGTTAAAATGTCTAGTGCTATGAAAACCATTTGTTAGGCCACTCCACTCCTAATGAAGAGACGGTATTATATACCAATAGGTTACTGTGTCTGCATTACACAGCCTGTAGAGCAAGACGTGAACTTCCTCCTTCTATGTTCATACATTGGCTCCTACAGCTGATTGATTTTTTGTTGTTCAACTATTGAGCAGTGTCTAATAACTGGGAAATGTCTTCGTCCTCATTTTTGTCCCAGTTTTTAAACTACTTGTTCTCAACAGAGTGCTCAGTGTCTCTATTGATCCTTATGCTCAAGACAGTTTTCTTTCTTCTTCATTTAAAAAAAAATCCAGCCAGAAGTAAATAAAATCCACAGTGGACTGAGTCACGGTTGCTTTATGACTACAACACAGGCTCCAGCTCTTCCGATATTTAGAGATGCCATCTGCAGAGAAGAAAAAAATATTAAATTCAGGCTCTCTATTAAGTAATGAAATTCCAGTAGTTTTGTAGGATGTACTTCCAAAGAATCAAAGAGTGCAACATAGAATTGATATAGGATACCTGATATTGCTGTGTTTCTATTAATTTTGAATGGAAATTTGGTTTACAAATGAATCAACAGAATAGAGTTTATATTTAGATGTGGGAAGCCTCATCTAATATGGACAATGGTAACAGATAATGGAAGTTGTAGCTAAAAATACTGGAAAGACTAATCCAGCCTAACTTGTCTCCATAACTACTATGTGGACAACAAACAAACATGCTTAAAATATGGCAATACTGTGTTTCAGAATAGGCCTATTCATTCACTTTGTCAAATTTGTATTTCCACCCAATATTATTCAATGTGGCTAACAGTAATAAAAGTAAATTACATTTTAATTCATTAATTAAGAAAGAAATTAAATTAACAAATTAAA